ACAAATGGGGCACGAGCCAACCACCTTTGGACATCTTTATTAGGCTGTAGCCCACACTACATAAAGCCCTTGGGACTCAGAAAGCCCTCAGATAGTCAGGCATGGTAGTATCTAGCACCAAGAGGCTGAGACAGGATTGCCACAAATTTGAGGCCAGTCTGGACTATACAGTAAATTCAAGACCAGCTTGAACTACATAGTAAGACCCTGTCCCCCAAAAAGTCCTCAAATTAGAGTATGCATGGCACTGAATTCCCTTACATTCCCAGGTGATTAAGGAGCACTGATCCACAGTCCTAAAATGGTATGAAAGATTTGATTTAGGAAGCTCTTAACTCCTTCATCCCCAGAACAAGAACATGGGTGGGAGGTACACACAGAAAGTGCCACTGTGTGGTTAGCCTTTGTCTCTGGAAGCTGCTCCTCCTGATGGTTCTGCTTTTTTGGTACTAGAACTTGAACTCAGGACCTTGTGCTTGCCAAGCAGGCCCTGTGCCGCTGAGCTACGTCCCCAGCCAGTTCTGCTTTTTAAAGGCGTTGGCTGTGTCAGAGCAAGATTTGGTCCTGCTCAGCAGAAGCCCCAGCCGACCCAGGAGTATTGCCCAACTGTTCCAGGCAGTCTTTGCTGACCTGCTTCCCATTCCCATTTCTGGGTCTGTTCTGGGAGATCAGGCTTCATGGGATAGGGGGACGTCTAAGGATCCCCCTCCAGGCCAGCAGGGGCTGGGAAGAGGTGACTTTAGAAGTGTTCAGAGGGCTGGCCTGAGCCACTGAGGGCTGAGGGTGGGAAGACGGCAGGGCCTTCAGTGACTGCACCAGCCGCCTGGAGATTCCAGATTAAAGCCTGGCAATTTCCTCCCATAAAGGACCAGAGAGTAAATATCTCAGACCAAATGGTGTCTGTCATGACCACCGCCGCATAGAGGCTGCCACAGATGGCGCATGTACAAATAAGCCTGGTGTATCACAACAGGCACAGTCTGGCCTCTGCCTCGGGGTGCTGATGTGCTGACCTCTGCTCTAGCTCCAGGATGGGGACCTCAGAGGCCAGGCCAACCACCTGCCCTGCAGCAGGCAGATCCTAGGTCTGCAAGTGCTTTGCAGGATGATTGGACAGCTTTGCAGCCTGCCCACCATCAAAGACATCTTGGCGGCTTTTCACTCATTTGAGGGGAGAGCCAGGTATTCAGAGATCCTCCCAGGAGGCTACGCCTCTCACAGAGCCGGACCTGGGCCTCTAGCATGATGCCCGAGGCACCTGGAAACCGCAGGTGATTGCAAAAAATTCCCAAAGGGCCCACAGCTCTCCTCAGATTTATTTATGGGCCCCCTGAAAGAGCCAAAAGCCCTAGAGTAAGTTCCCTTGCTTACTCAGAAAGAAAGTGAGTTCCTTTGCATTTGAAAAAGCTCTTACAAAATGTTTTTAAAAAATGACTTTTAAAACAACTGCAGAAAAGTAGATAAATAACACAAATAAGTAATTTATAAGAGACACAAATGGCCAAAAAAAGAGGTAAAAGGATGTTCTGTCTCACTATAATTAAAGAAATTTTTAGAAGTCATAGTATAGTTGGGTGTGGTGGCACACGTCTGTAATCCCAGCACTCGGGAGGATCATGGCAAGTTCCGGACCAGCCTGGGCTACAAGGTGAGCCCATGGACAGCCTGAACCGCATAGCGACGAGACCCTGTCTCAAAAAGACAAAAAAATCATAGCTTATCATTTTCACAAGGTCAGATTGGGTAATGTTTAAATAAAGACAAATGATATGGTCTTAGAGGAAGAAGGGAAAAGGCACTCTCAGAAATGCTGGTAGGATTGTGTCGGTGTAAAACCTTTTTATAGAAGGCCATTTAACAGCACATATTAAATTTTAAAACGTGCTTATGTTGTGGCCCAACAATTCCACTTCCAGGAATTTATTTTATGGAAACACATATACAGGGAAGTTCCCCTCCAAGCATTCATAAATTGCAGAATTGTAAAACTTTATGTGTACTGGTAGGAGCTGGTTGAATAAATTATGGCACACTACATTATAAAAGAATACAGAACTACTGAATAATGAGAAAGATCTGTACAGTTTAAAATAAGAAAGTAGATTTCTTTTTTTCTTTTTGAGACAGGCTGTCTCTATGCAGTTCAGGCTGACCTTGTGTTCACTTTGTAGCCCAGGCTGGTCTCAAACATGCAACAATCCTCCTCCCTCAACCTCCCTGAGTGATGGGATTACAGGTGCAAGCCGCCACGCCCAGCTAAGAAGGTAAATTTCTAAACACTGACAGAGAAATTGAAAGATACATGTGAGTGGAAAAGCCAAACTGTAGTAGTGAAAAATAAAAAGAGCCAGGTGTGGCAGTGCAAGTGTGGACGTATATGTCTTCAGTATTACTTTAAAACTTGTATATACCAAAGGCACTCTACTTAGTTATTTATTTACATATATTTGAAAGAGTCTTGCTATGCAGGCTGTCCTTCAACTCACTATGTAGCTCAGGCAGGCCTTGAATTTGTAGCAATCATCCTGCCTAAGTCTCCCAAATGCTAGGATTACAGGCATGCACCAAAAAACGTTTTCTGTTTTTGTCTTTTTCCTTTTTATCGGTACCAGGGATCGAACTCACGACTGCCTGCTTGCAAGGCAGGAGCTTATGCCGCTGAGCTAAATCCCCAGCCCTAAAAACGTTTGTTTTATAATCACAAAAAATAAGAAACGTGGCTGGGCATAGTAGCACACACCTGTAATCCCAGCACTGGGGAGGCTGAGGCAGGAGGATCACTGTGAGTTTGAGGCCAGCCTAGGCTACAAAGGGAGCTCAAGGTCAGCCTGAACTGCAATGAAACTCTGTCTCAAAAAGACAAAAGTAAGAAAAATATTTATGGGCCTCTTAGTTGCTCTTAGTTTTTTTTTGATAACTTTATAGAGTTCACTTTCAAGCCTTTCTAAGGAGGACTTAGAATATGGTGCTGTTTTTATAATCTGTGTGTATGTGCGTGTGCGCTGCCAGGGATAGAGCCAGGATCTCCAGAATGTTGGGCAGGCGCCCTACCACTGGCTGACACCCCCTTTCATCTCACGCTTTATTATGGAAAGCATCTCTGCATTTTGAACCTCAATTCCTCAAGTCCCAGGGCCACCCTGATCTTTTACCCCTGAAATTCAGACCTGCTGTCCTCACAGAGCCCCAGCATGACTAAAATAATGGGGCGATGCCAGGGTTTTATTTTTCACCTTGATGAAAGGGTGGATAGCTTCCACACTGTCCAAGAACAAACAGAACCAGGACTCCTATGTCACAGTTTACACAACTCAGTGAAATGTATATGCCGGACTGACAGCTTCACCGTGTTTTCCTCTGGGAATCTGGAGGGAGGGTATATTCATTTCTCTTTTAAATCTACCTGGTTAAAAGAACCAAAATTAATGTGCCCAAAGAATACAATGTGTATTTCCCAGTCACCAACACAGATAAAGTAACAAAGTCCTCACATTCATGGGGTGAGGACACCTCAGAGAGGCTTCCCTGAGAGCACAGCACATGGATCACTGGTGCTGGGCTCTGCCCGCCTAACGCAGACTGCAGTGAATTTTTTATGCCTACAGATGGGGCCCATACACTTAGTGCCTTCCACCCGGACAGAGTTAGCAAGGCAGAGCAGGGGAAAGAGAAGCCAGGAGACCTTGAGCCTGGCCCCTGGCATGTGGCCTGCGGGCGATCACCGAGATGTCATCACCTTTTCGAGCTCTTTACCAAAGGACCAGAAGTTCCCACAGCTCCCTTAGAACAAAACACGGGCCCAGCGACAGCATGACTCACTGGTAAAAGGGGAAATCAGAAACCAGAGTGCAAGCAGTAATGGTACACACTGTATCCTGAGAACAGCTTCATAGTAAACTGAGGCCCATGAGATTTCCCTGTCGAGTAGAAGTCTATTATTCTTTTTTTTTTTTTTCCTGGTGCCAGGATTGAACTCAGGACCTCGCACTTGCCAGGCTGTGCCACTGAGCTGTATCTCTGGCCCCGGTGCCAGAAGTCTGTTGTTCTTACTGCTTTCCCAGCTCTGAAGCGTACCTCGCCTGACCCAGACACATCAGAGTTCCCTTTGTCCTTCTGGGAAGACTTTCTTGTTCCCACTTAGATTTTCTTTCTTTTAGCCTGTGCCTTCCTGTAAGAGCACCCTCCCCCCTACCAAAAGAAGCACATTTTGTGATATGCTGTGTGTCCCAAGAAAGGGGGACTCAGTATGGTTGAGAAAACATTGCTCTCAAAACCAGGCTTCTTTCGTTTCTTTGTTTCTCTCTCTCTCTTTCCTTCTTTTTTCCCTCCTTTCTCTGTCTCTGTCTCTCATTTTAGGCAAGTATACTACCACTGGAGGACTACTCCTCTGCCCTGGCATTTTATTTATTTATTTTTATTTTATTTTTTTTTTGTCTTTTTCCTTTTTATCGGTACCAGGGATCGAACTCACAACTGCCTGCTTGCAAGGCAGGCGCTTATGCCGCTGAGCTAAATCCCCAGACCCCTGTCCTGGCATTTTAGAAAATAAAGAAGAGACTCCACACTGGTGTCCTGAGTTTGTCATCCCATTCTGGACAAAGGCAAAGACTGGAGCTAGGGAGATCCAAATGCAGGGAGGTTTGTTTTCTGGTTGTACTGTGAGCCTGGGCTCCCAGAGACACTGCCTATGAAAAGTGAAAGTGGGCACAGCCTTTTCTTTCCCTGCTCCTGTCTTTTCCAGGCACGTGGCTAGTAAGCTGCCTCCTCAGCACCAAGGCCAAGGCAAGAAGGCAGGGGGCCAAGCACCTCAGAGCCATGTCCTGCTGCCCGCAGGACCTCCCAGCGTGGGAGGCCAGGCATGGCTTTGCTGTCAGTCCTCCCCTTCTCGGGACATCCAGGATTATACAGTGAAAGGGAGGAAGTGGCAACCAGAAAAAGCTGCCTGAAATTCACAAGCAGATTTCTGAGAACATAAGCAAAAGGCAAATATGGCTACTCACTGTGAGGGAGGTGAAGGTCATACACATCCCGCCAAAGCCATTCAGAGCCAGGGCAATGAAGATGAGCACTGAGAGAGCTGCAGGAAAACAGACCTGTGAGTGGGGAACCACAGCTGGCCTTCAGCCAGCCCGGGCCTGGCCCGGGGCTCCTCAGAGCAGGCTCCAGATAAACGCAGACTGAAAGGACAAGAAGCCACTGGGTTTACTGCCTGCCTCCTGCTTACCCCCTCCCCTTACCTGCCTCGTGGAGTGTCAAGTCTTGCAAAAGGCCCATGCTCAGCCTGCTCAATCCACTAACCTAGCTGCAAGAGGCCCAAAGGAAACGAAAAACCTAGACTTCCAAAAAATCTGTAAGTGAGCCTGGCTAAGACTCTGTAAGTTTCAAGTCTTGTTTTGGTGTTCATTCTTAAGAGTCTTCAAGCCAACAGCCTCATCTGAATAGGGATAGGGACCAGGCGGCTTTCAGGCCATATTTAAAGCCCTGGCCTGGACCCCCTTGAAGAGACTGAGCTCACAACTTCTGTATCCACACAGCCCCAGGTCCTAGAGCTCTTCCCTCAGGCTGACAGCAGGGAGGTCATGAGGAACCAGCTATTTGGAGGTCTGCAGACCTGGGATGCCTCTAAGCATCTGTCTGGGGGTGATTCCTTCCTTTCCTGGCTGCCCATGTGAGATAAGCAACTAACAGAGGCTTAACAGGTAGCTCTTGGAGCTTGATCGGGGAGCACCAGCTCCACCACACAGCATCTGACCGCAGGTGGGCCAGGCGCACCTCTGGGGGTCTCTCCCCTCCCCTTGACAAAAGGGTGGAGGAAAGGCAGACTCACACTTTGGGTTACTTGCTCCATATGCAATCAGCAAGCAGGAGACAGCAAAGCAGGCACTGAAACCAAGCAGAAATAGCACATTATTGATAAGTTATTGATCGCCATTATGTGTTATCATTTAAGGGTATTTACTCTGCACCCTTTCAGACTGTTTGATTAAACAATCCCTGGAGCTGGGTGTGGCACAGGTCTGCAACTTCAGAACTCTAGGAGGGGAGGCAGAAAGACCACAAATTCAAGCCTAGGCTGGGCAACTTAGTGACTTAGAAAGATCCTTTTTCAAAATAAAAAAGGGCTGGGGATATAGCTCAGTGTGAAGGCCTTGGATTCAATCCTTATTCAAAAAAATACTAGGAATTTCTAAGAACAATTGGCTCCTATTTGCTGGTAAGGAAAATAAATATTATTTAAAGAAGAAAGAAAAGGAAAAAGGAAGAAGGAAGGAAGGAGGAGGAGGAAGCAGACAAGAATGAGGAAGAGGAGAAAGTGAGGGAGAAGAGGAGGAGGTAGCCGGGCATGCATGGGAACACATGCCTGTAAATCCCAGCACTTGGCAGGCTGAGGCAGGAAGACTGCCATGAGTTCAAGGCCAGCCCAGGCTACATAGTGAATTCAAGGGCAGCCTGAAATATGCTGCAAGACCCTGTCTCAAAAAACCAAAACAAGAAACAAAGAAACAAAACTATATTTCTCTCCGTCTTCTACCTAGTAAGAACCAAAGCTGGAATTGAAGCCCCAGAACTAGATCTTACAAATCCCACACGCACTGCCCCCCACCCCATGGGAGAGGCCCAAGGCTCTGAAGCAAGGGACAAGCATTCCTCGGGTTCCCGAGCCTGCTCGGTCAGGGACAGCCTGGACAGGAGGAGATGTGGCTACTCCCAGAGCCCCTGCACTTGGCTCTGCCCTGGGAACCAAGGCCTCTTCGACTGACAAATGAGTAGAACTGATCCGCAGCCTTTTCCCTTCAGTCATGGGTTTTGCCCCCTGTGAGCCACACCCCTGTAAAGTCCCAATGGGAATAGGGGAGGGGACAGACCTGAGAGCCCAGCAACATACCCCCAGAGGGCACACAAGATGACCCATTAATATATTATATAATACATTAGGACAGGGATGGTGAACCTCCTACAGACCAAGCGCCAAACTGAAAGCCAAAACTCAGTTATGTATCAAAGTGCTAATTAAACCTGAGTGCTGAAGTTTTAGTTTAGAAAAAACTACTCTACATTAACATCTTTTGTCCTAAAGAAAAAAAAAAAAAAATACAGTAACACACACTCCATAGGCTCATCACCACTATATCAGGATTTCTGTTCTTTAATCTCCTTCATTCTAAAAATTTCATTTATGTTGTTTTATTTAATAATTTACCTATTTTGCTGGGCTGGCAATGGAACCCAGGTCTCATGTAAGCTAAGCATGTGTTCTACCACTGAGCCTGGGCATTCAGGGAGTCGCATGGAGCCCCGACAGCAGACTCCAGAAGTCCCTCTGGAACCCACCTGCCTGCCCTATCCCCAGGGAACGCGCACTGACCTGCCCAGCAGCCTGAGCTTCCTCGGACCGTACTTGTCCATGATGATGCCCAGGGGCAGGGTGATGGCGCTGAGCAGGAAGGAGCCCACGGTGAAGGCCAGGTTCAGGATCTCGTCCTGGGCCTTGCAGCTGAGCCAGCCGTTCACCCACGTCACCTCCTCGGGCTCAGGCTCTGCGGTGCCATGCACTGTGGCGTTGGTGACATTCTCTGTATGTGCAGAAGGATAGAAACTGACAATGGGGCCATGGCAGGGATGCTCTAAGCTCAAGTGCACCTGTGCAGTCCCCCCCTGGGGATGTCAGAGCTGGCTCTGGGCTGCCTGGGGGACCCTAATGACCTCACACTGGGCTTGGGTATCCATTTGGCTCAAGCCCCCAGGAGTGATAATGCAAAGGTTTCTAACTTCTGCAGGGGTCATAAACCTGTGGAGAAATAAAAAATGAAATCTGTGCTTCTAAACCCCCGAAACATAGTCTTCAGGCAAGGTAGCACACACCTGTAATCTACCACTGGGCAGGCTGCAACAGAAGGATTGCCCCAAGTTTGAATCAGCCTAGGCTATACAGCAGTGAGTTCAAGGCCAGCCCAAACTACATAGAGAAACCCTGTCTCAAAAAACAAACAAACCCTTGTACTGACATTTTCCAAACCATTGCTCAGAGCACTGATTTTAGTGTTAAAAAAAAAAAGATCCTGGGGCTGGGGATTTAGCTCAGCGGCATAAATGCCTGCCTTGCAAGCAGGCAGTTGTAAGTTCGATCCCTGGTACCGATAAAAACGAAAAAGACAAAAAACAAAAAACAAAAAAAAAAGATCCTAAGTCTTGTCCATAATTTCTTGTCCTCTGAAGCATGGATGAGTCCCCAAGTTAGGTCCCCCTTTTAGAGTGTCCTATATCCTAGAGCAGCAGATGCTAGGACTCAGCCATGGCGACATGGCCCCAGACTGGCTAGAACCTTCTGAGCAGCTTTGTCCACGGAAACAGACTACAGCCAGCATGGAGGCCAATCCTAGACTACCAGGGAAGGACCAGGTGCTGATCTTGTAATTCCCTGTGTCTCCTTGGTCAGCTAGGGCAGACTGAGAGGGCTTTCCTGTCTCCTTCGGCAGTGAGTACAGTTGGCTTCTTAAACACAGACCAGGCCATGAGATAGTTTCTTCTCTGGTGTTTTCTTTGTTTTGTTTTTTTGTATTTTTACCAGTACCAGGAATTGAACTCACGACCACACACTTGCAAGGCAGATACTTATGCCACTGAGCTAAATCCCCAGCCCCATTCTCTGGTATTTTTCCCCCCCTCTGGTGTTTTTAAAGCATCAACCACCACACACACTGACTGCACCTTTAGAACCTCTCATGGATTTTTTAAAAAGTAGTCCAACATTACTTGCTATCACCCATTGAGCTGCCCCTTTCTCACTGGGGTCACTGTGTTGCCATCCCTATGACCACACCCAGCAGGCCCGGCTGCTGGGTGCTGAGCCCCTGAACCTCATGTAGTGACCACACCCACTGTGATCTCAGACCCAAAGGACCGTCTCCAAAGTCCCTACCCCACCATAAGGAAAAAAAGCACTGTAGCAGTTGAAGGTTGGAGGACAGGGCTGTGGGAAAGTGGCGGAGAAAGCTAGCTCGCCCAGACTGCTAGTTAAGAGATGCTGACTAATCCGTGCAGCAACAGGGCAGCCTGATTAGATGTGCGGTTACAATGGACAGTCAAGGAAACACTCTTCCTCAGATAACCACCTGCCTCCCAATTGCAGCTCTGGCGCCAGAGCTGTAAATCTGAGGTCTGCGATGCTGAGGTCTGCAAAGGCTTGCCCAGCCTTCGGGGCTATCCAAAGTCACTGAAACGAAAGCACCAGGCTGACCCATGCCACATGTCAACCTTTGACCGATGAGCACTGTGGGGGCTGTCGAGATGGTGGTGCTAGAACCTGGCCTCTGGGTTCTAATTTTGGTTTCTTTATTTGCTATTTGTATAATTCTAAGGAAGTGACTTGATCTTGCTTCACTGCCTTATTTGTAAAAGGGACATAATATTCACCTCTGGATCAATGAGAAAATTCAGCCAACATTCTAGAGCTCACACAGGCATAGAATGTGCTCAGTAAATAATGGCTAAAAGCAATCATTATTATTACTATGCTGGAGGCTTAGGATGGAGGGTATGGCGCAACTGGTCAGCAGCAGTGCCGGGCAGTAAGAGGGAGCAGCGGTTTGTAACGGTGCATGGCTAGCAGGATACGTGTCTAGACTCCCGCTGCGCTGTGAGCCCTGCAGGCAGAGACCATGTTCAGGTTACCTCTGGGTCCCAGTACCTTTCCAGGCCCTGGCCACAGTAGCTGTTTACTGAATGAATGAAAACAATGAAACCAGATCTCAACAGCCAGAAGGATCAAGAGAGGGAAAGAAATAGGATGAGCAGAACCAAGTTTAACACAGACACGATTTAGGGAGGTCACAGCCACAAGATTAACGGCCTAAAACCACAGACGCAAAACCTCACAAGCCAGATTCCCAGTCCTGCCACTCTCTCTGTTTCTCCAAGAGACTGTCACACTCATGGCCAGAATGCACGGCAAACAGGGTCCTCTGAGTCTATCAAGATGCAACTCAGAAGAGTGTCAAGGGCTAGGCGGCTGGCTCCTGCACTGGGTGACAGCTCCTGCGAGGCAGTGTGCCTCACAGGTGGTGCTGGTTTCAAGTGTCAGCCCTGCCAGCAGCAGCAGCAACTGGATCTGTGGTGGGGAGCCGGGCCTGCCACATGGCAAAGACCGTCTGCAGGCTGACGTGCAGATCTGAGCAAACCAGCACAGATGTGACAGCATGGCACCCACCTGGGAGACCTGATCACGGCTACGCAGGGTCTGGAGCCGGTTACTACACACTCCATGAGGGACATGGGAGAGCTCAGGGCTTAGGGCACCGTGGGCTGTGTGGCTGTAGCAAGCAACAGGAGGACCAAGAGTGACAGGCAGAAAGGCACTCTCGTGAGTAGAGTCCCCGCAAAGAGGTCCCTCAGCTGGAGCCCTAAGTGTCCTCTTCATGACACTGAAGATAAGATAAGCTGGGAAAGGCTGGGGTAGAGCACTTGCCTAGCATGAGGAAGGCTCTGGGTTCCACCCCCGGCACAATACACACACACACACACACACACACACACACACACACACACGCACACACACACACGCACGCACGCGCACACACACACACACACACACACACACGCACACACACACACGCACGCAAGGGAATCTCCCTTATAGCCTAGAAGTGGGCATACAGTAGAAACACTTTAACTTCCTTACTGATCTGGTCATCCTTGTAACTAGACAGGGGACCTACAAGGAGAGGGTTGGGGAGGTGCAGGCAAAGGTGTCACTCTGTTCTTCCCTCTTTTCATCCTGGAGCCACGGTACCCAGGACGAGGGACCAACACATCAGGCTACCAGACTTCTCTCCCTAAAGCCATTCCTGTCAGTAGGGCCACCTGGCCTTCTACTCTCCTGCCTCCAGCCAGTGATGTCTAGCAACACATGGCTTTGGGGCTGGGGGCACTGACTGGCTCATCTGCCCAGGAAGCAATGGGAGTGTTCCTCACTCCTGGAGGGAATTAAACCTTTGATGAGTCTAAAAGCCATATTGGCAATAAACAGCAGACATGAATAATCTCAGCACCAGCAGAGATCCAGAAACCTTTACACTGGGGGGGGGGGGGAAGAGGGGGGATGGACCAGAATAAACACCCAAGGCCAGGGGTGATGACACACACCTGTGATCCCAGTACTTGGGAGGCTGAGGCAGAACGATCACCCTAAGTTTGAGGCCAGCATGGGCTACACAGGAGTTCAAGACCAGCCTGGACTACATAGTGAGAACTTGCTCAAAAATAAAAAACAACACCCAACAAGTGCCAAGACCCACAGGATCTCCCTGCTCCCAGCTTAGGTGCCACCCAACTCAGCCTGCGTGGTGCCTCACCTGCACCTGTTTATTAAACAGAACTCTGCAGTGGGCGGCCAGAACAGCCCAGCCAGGGGAAGACAAATCAAGGCAGGCAAGGAACCAGGACAGCCAGGGCATGCTGAGAACAACAGGCTGCTGAGAAGACCAGACACCAGAGCCCGGGAACAGAACAATGGTCTGCACTGTTGGGCCACACTCTGAAGACTCAGACAGAATCTCTACAAAGAGAGCAGAAGGGGAAGAGCGGGTTCCCTAAGCCTCCCTGGGTCAGAGGGGCCTCCCTCTACTCCAGAAAAACAAAGATGGTGGGGGGCCTCCACCACAGCTCCCAGATGCCAGACAGCTGCAGGGAGTCAAGGGGCACATCACACCCAGAGGCTGGCCAGACCCTAAATTCCCTTTCCCACCAGGGTGCAGACCCCTGCCGGACTCCGCCTAGGGTCTCTGCCCTGCAATCTCCTCTCCCCAATCCTGAGGCTATCCGGCAACAGGAAGCAGCATCCCAGTCCAGCAGGGGAGATGTGGGTAAGAGGTCGGCTTGGCCTCAGAGCAAACAAGAGGCAGCAGCAGCCACCTTCTGCAGAATGCCTGTGCGCTGGCCACTGTGTTCAGTGGTATCCAGCCCCTTCCACTCAGGCTTTCCATTCCACACGCCAACCAGGAAGGCTCAGAGCAGGTAAGTCACTGCCAAAGGTCTCATAGGGACCTGGACACAAATCCAAGCTGTTGGAACCCGAAGTAGCTGCTTGTAACTCTGGGCTGTGCTGGGGTTGCCCTCTTGGCTTAGAAGCAGACTGTGTCTCAGAGAACATGCTAGAAGAATGCAGCCGGGACAGAGTAGGGACACAGTGTGGAGGCAGAATCGCCCAGTGAGCACTGGTTGCTTCATGACTCCCACAGGGGCCCTGAAAGCCAGCCCAGGCCAGACAGAAGCTTCATGAGATACCAGGAAGCCAGGGGAAGTCATGAGGAAGCCAGGGGAGGTCAAGGGATATGGGGGAAGAAAATTAGGCAGGCCTGACAGGGACAGCCAAGGGCTCCAGCTCTTCTCTGTAATATATCCTGAGGCCATATCGAATATTTATTTATTTACTTATTTATTTTGGAGACAGGGTCTCCCTGTGTAGTTCAGGCTGGCCTTGAACTGGTAGCCTCATCTGGCCTTGAACTCCTGGTGATCCTGCTTCCTCAGCCTCCAGAGTGCTGAGATTACAGGTATTCACCACCATGCCCAGCTTTCCTATGGAATTTTTAAAATTCAAAATAAACTGGGGGCAGGCTGAGGCTGTAGCTCAGTGATAGCATGTTTGCCTCATATGTGCAAAACTTTGAGTTCAATCCCAGCACCATAAAAATAAACAAACTGTGTAAAAAGTAAAAATGGTCCTATTCACAGCACTAAAAGTAAAAGGTTGGAAAGTGACAAAGGCCAGTGGGATTTTGTGGATAAATCAAATTATAAACTTGATTTTTTCCTAAAAAAAAGAAAAGTGAAAGGGATTTTTGAAAAGTGTCAACCATCAGCCCGTGGCTGTGGAAAGCACCCGTAAAAAGGGAGACCCTAACATAGCTGGGATTCTCATGTCCACAGATGCAGCCTGGCTTGGCCTGGCAGGGACCACAGTTGACCCTGGTTCCCAGATGGATGGGAGCCCCTCTGTCCTCTCTGGATCCTGGGGCACTTCCTGCTCTGACAGGGAGAGAGGAATGTTCCCTGCCACCACAGGCACAGTGACTGCAGTGGTCAAGAGCACAAAACTGCGGTCTGCTGTCATGTTCACGGCTAAACTAAGGTTTCTTCTAGCAGAGGTCAAAGATTCCCACCTCCAAAGTCTTCATCCCAGGCAACCCCAGCATGTGCTGAGCCCTCATGATTCCTAAGAGCCCTGAAGACGTGAAGTAGGTCATAGCCCTCCTTTCCTTCCATGCCATCTTCTTGCCTCAGGAATAAAATCCAGTCTCCTCGAGGGAGCTCCCGGATCCTGTACCCGTGGGCCCCTCTCCCTGCCCCAGGCATCTGCAGTGCCAGCCTTTCTCCCCTCTCCTCCAAAGTGGCCTTACCCCTCCACTCCTGACTCTGACCTCTCCTTACCCTGCAGGCTTCTGCTGAAGTATCAGAGACCTGCCAGTCACAACCAGCTCCCCAGTGCTGCTTCCAGCACCCTGTGCTCCAGAGAACTTGTGTGTGATGACTTGCGGGCCTTGTAACCCTGGTACTGCACCTCAGTGATTGTTACCTGAATGTGTGGGTGAAAAATGAAATTGAGCCTCCACTGGTAAACCACTCACAGCTGACTGTGTAGATGGGCCACTGAGTTACAAAGAAAACAAAGAAAGATGTCAAATATGGGTGACTAGGGGACCATGGATAAAGCTTAGTGGCACAACCCCTGCCTACAAGTATGACGCACTGAATTTGATTCCCAGTACCAAAAAAAAAAAAAAAAAAAAGAAAGAAAGAAAGAAAAAAAAGAAACCAGCCGGGCGTGGTGGCTCATGCCTGTAATCCCAGCACTTGGGAGGCTGAGGCAGGAGGATCGTTTCGAGTTCAAGACCAGCCTGGGCTACAAAGTGAGCTCAAGGCCAGCCTGTAATGCATAGTGATACCCTGTCTCAAAAAGACAAAAAAAGAAAAAAGCAAAGAAACGAAAAAGTGCCTGCCTGGGTGGCTACAGTGGCCATCTAGAGGCCAAGAGGCCAAAGCCCTGGGAAAGCCCTGTTCTTACCAGCCTAAAAATCCAGCTGCTGTCTTAGCCACACCAGGGAGGATAAGGAGAGACCCAGCTGCCAAGACCTCATGGTTATCATGCAAAGCTCATCAAATGCTCCACCCTAGTCTTGTCACTTCTCCTGACCATCTGCCAGGCAAGGCAGAACAAGCTGAGGGACAACAGGGAAATGAGCTGCCTCCTTCCTTCTCTCTGTCACTCCCCAGGCTAGAGCCCAACACTGCATGGGTAGCCAGATTCTGGCTGGAGCTTTGACACAGAGTTCCCAGCAGATTCGAGTAATTTCACTTAGAAAGTGAACTCAAGCAACAAAAAACTGAGAAACTTGAATCTCAGTCAGTACAGTCACCAGTCACCCTTGAAATGCCTAATTCAATAAAGTCAGTAAATGACCTAATTGGTTCTCTTCAGTTTAGCTGTCCACCTAGTTGGGAAATGTTAGGCCTAACTGGAAACCTTGACCCTAATTCTGCCAAGCCCTCCCACCTAAGTAAAACCCAGGGATTTCTGGCTCTAAAAGACAACATGTTACACGGGATCCAAGAAGCAAGGATCAGGGAAGCCAGGTAGATAAGCTGTGTAGAATCAGCAGGCTTTCCCGCCAAGGATGCTGGGTCAGCAGGTTTGTAGGCAATCAGAAAATCCAAAATCAGATGGAAGAGCAAAGGCATGGGATAAGAAGTTGATGTTCAATCCACAATCCTGACCCTTTGCCTTCTCTTTGGGTTGTAGGAGTGACCTGTGAAGTCTCTCAAGGGCTTAAATACCAACTCAGCACTGTGCTGGCACAATCTCTGGGGCTCCTCCCACAAAAGGAAGGAAGAAGCCAAGGTTGCAGCAGGAGTGAAGTGAGCAGCCTCTCACTGCCAGTATCATACAATAAATTCAATAGAGGACCAAAAAAACCTAGAGTCTGACCTTCTTGACACCACAGTGAGAGAGAGAGAGAGAGAGAGAGAGAGAGAGAGAGAGAGAGAGAGAGATTGATTTGACCACAACAGTCCACTGGTCTTGATGAATATAGTACTAAAAGCTTTGCTTGTTTTGAGACAGGGTCTGGTCATGTAGTTCAGGCTGACCTTGAACTCACTATGTAACCCAGGCTGGTCTCCAATTTGGCAGCAATCCTCCTGCCTCAGCCTCCCAAATCCCACCAAATGGGATTATAGGCATGCACCACCACATCTGGCCTAAGAAATTTTTCTGGAGTGGACTTTTTCTGTTTTTCAAGTCTTCTATGTATCCTAAAAAAGGAAGAGTCAAACATTCTAACCTTTCCTTCCAGAAGATTCATTAATTTCCTAACATCTCTTGAGCGAAACAGAAAGCTTGCTCAGGGAACAAGGTCTGACTCTCATCTCCCAAGATTTCTTGCTGATGTGGGGAAAAGGCCTGCCAAGAACCTTTAGGCTCTTAGGAAATATTTTTGAGTGGCTAAAGGCTAAAGGTTGCTTATAAATGATACACTTTCTACCCTCTCCCGTGTGCCTCGCATTCCCTCCCTTCTTCTTGCACATAACCTCGCCTGGTATCTCCCTAGACACTGGGACACACTGGAATCTTCTTGGCAGATCAGAGATTAGAAGCAGGGAGTGTTCAATTCTGGGTTATAGACAGTGCTGCTTAGTTCAAAGTGTTCTCTTCTTGCTAAGTAAAAACTAGAAAGAGAAGGCGTGCTGGTGATGACCCAGAAAGTCCACTCTAGGCTCTCTCCACCTAAAAGACTCATACACTAGGGAGAGAGATTATGAGTTCAACTCTTCTGCTGCTGCTGTTGGAAATGGAGACAGCAGGGATGCATGCTTCTGTCCAGGTTGCTTATGGAGAGTGGAGACTGGGGCTGCTCTGGCCCTACTGTTGGGTTGAACCCACCAACCTGCAGTAGTGGGGGTGGCAAGGTGGGATGGTCAGAGTCATGGTCAGAGTTGGGGTGAGAGTGCAGATTTCACACACAGCATCCACAAACTTTCAGCTATACCAATGGTGAGGCAGTGAGAAAGGAGCAAACCCTACGTCATTTTCATAAAATGTTCCCCTTCCTATTCCTACCCATGGGGCTGGAAGGCCACAGAGATGTTCTCATGGCCCGTGGGAGGAAATGGCATTTGGAGAATCATAAAGCTACAAAAAATAGACAAGAAATTGTATCCGGCAAGCCCTTATGACACTCCATAATAGCCTGACTGAAAAACATCTAGATTCTAGATGAAGCCTTTGGGTAGAGGCGAAGCCACTTCCTCTCTCTTGCTGCACACCAGCCCCCGAATCAGGAGTTCCTCTTTCTTACAGCCAAGGAACAACTTGTTTACTGCAAGCTAAGGGACATTCAGGCATTGCAAGGACGAGAGGCCAGCATGTTGCAGCCTGTGGACACAGAACGGCTGGATGTGGGAGTTCTGGGTCTATCACTGTCCCCAGCTTGCGCAAAGCAGAGGTCTGGCCTTGAGAATCGGTTTCTTCATCTATAAAACGGGAGCAATGATAATGAAGTGGACCCAGCATACCTGCCTGAGGATCACATGTACCTTTTGCTACCCGGGAGACCCTGTGCAGTGAAAGGGCGTTGCTGGTTAGGTCTTCACCACAATCCACCCTCTCCCAAAGCACTGGACTCAAAGAACCAACCCCAGCCCAAGGTACCCATCTCACCTGGCTCCGTACACAGGTAGGAATAAAAGCCCTCTGACTTGAGCATAATGAGCAGTGAGCCCCAGCCCAGGAGGACTGCCGAGAAGAGGAGGTTTTCCAGAACAGCTGTGCAGGCCATCCACCAGCGGCGCCGATGGGCAGTGGCCAGGGTGGGCGCCATGGTACGGTGCGCTGCGGTGCGGCCCGGTGGCCCGGCTCCGGCTCCGGCTTCGGCTCCCGCTCTGCAGCCACCTGCACACAGACCTAGGCGTCAGCGCGAGGGCTGCTCAACCAGTGCGGCTGCCCTAGGCCGCTGCCGCAGGGCACGAAGCCTGTCATCCCTCCGTGGCCCAGAAGACAGGTTCGCGCAGCGAAGGAAGCGCCCTAGCCCTGCCTGAGACTCGGATCACCCCGAGCCCTGCAGCTGCCTGGCCCCGCCGCCCTCCACTACGCTGGCGCTGTCCTGGTCAGAGACTTCTCCCGCAGTTCACTCCAAGGTAAACTGAGGCATGGAAAGAGGAAGGGACGAATGCATTTTCAAGGACCTGGAACTAGTCCTGGCGTCCAGCATGCCTGACATAGCTAGCTCGAGTGCTGTGCAACTGGATGCATGGCCCACTGGGCAGAGGCGTACCTGAGAGCTGTCGTTTCCAGGGACCCCAACAGACTTCCTCCCGCCCGCACTCGAGACCCTTCCCCAGAGCTGTCTTCTTTAACCACAAGATCAATGCCCCGAGCCCCGGAACGGCCCGCCCATGGCATGCTGATTGGCCAGAGTGCAAAGGAACTGCTACGCCATTGGCCACTGTTTAGGTCGCTAGGCACTGTGGCCACGCGAACCCCGCGTGGGAGAGGCGAAGCCGGTTCAAACCGGCGGCGCGAGCCAACCTCACGACCCCCTTTCAGGGATGTTACCGCAGCAATTAGCACTTTCTTATGGAAGCAGACCCCGGTCCCTCCATCCCCTAGCTTTTTGCTCTATTTGTCATCTTTTTGGCGGCTCCTTACCCACCCGGTCACTTTCTTCTCATAGTCACACATCTCTCTAAACCCCTTTTAGTGTAGTACCTGTTGTCTACACCCTAGCATAGGCGCACCTCATTCCCGGGATCTAGCTTACCGGGTTCCTGCTGGAGTGTGTCGGGCCCGCCCGGCACCTTTTCTGTCCCCTTTTATTCCAGCCCTTTTATTCCGACCCTAAGATGAAAACACTGCCGCCCGCTGATTGGCTAAGTGCGGCTGGAAACAGGCTTTGACCAATCAGCGCCTACCCGCCCGCCCCCCGGCGAGCAGAAGCCGGTTCCGGCCGGACTCAGAGACAAACAAGAGATTGGGGGGTGGGGTGGCAGCTGTGGGCCTGGCCTTGCCTCTACAGCTTTAAACTGTAGTCACTGTGGGGCCGGGAACCCCCGGGGTCATTGCCATACAGCCCCGCCAGAGCCCCGCCCGGAGACCTGATTCTAGGCTTGCTTGCGGGTCCCGCGTTCCTGCGCCCCCCAGACTTGCTTAACTGCGTGGCAGTGCCTCTCAGCACCCACTCCTGCTTTGGCACTCTGCTCCCCTGACTGCTACGTAGTCTCCCTCTGAGCGCCCGGGATACCACGTCCGGATGCTCAGGCTCCACAGGGATTCTGCAGCTCACTCCCGATCTCTCGCTGGTGCTCCCATCCCACGCATTGCTGCCCTTTCGTTCGGCTGTGTGTTCTGCTGCTTCTCTCTTGTCCTTGATAGCTCCCATTCAGGCATAGTCAGCGGGTCTCGATTCCCAGACCCTGTCCAAGGCGTGGTCCGTGCCTTCTTGTCTCCTGATTCACCTGCCCCTTGCCCTCTTCTCGGTGCTGTCTGGTTTCTTTCTGATAGGTGCCCCTTTAGGACCAGTAAGCAGGAGCTTGTGCTTGTCTGTTTCCAGTGTCCAGACCCTGGTTCCCTCATCCCCGTTCCTGCTGACCCGGTTCGCTCGGAGACCCCCATCCCAGCCTCACCCAGCCCGGTTTCCTGGTGCTCCCTGTGCTTCTTCACTATTCTCCAATCATCTCTTTCACTTAACGACCCTCTCTGTGGGCGACTCCAAGCTTCTAGTGTAAGTCTGAGAGGTCAAGAGCACTCCAGCATCCCTTAGTGAGCAGTTGGCTCGACCTGCCCTGAGAAACTGCTAGCGCAGAGCCATGGAGCCCGGGTTCTGCAGGTTCGGCTGACCCGCTAGGTCTCCCCTATCAGAGCTACTAGCCTGCCCTCAGAAAACCCTGGGCCTCCCCGAGATTCCATATCCTCCGGGAGTTGGCATAATACTCCAGGGCAACAACAGAGCTAGCAGCCTCCCGATCCACTTCCCCCAGCCCGAGAGCGCCCCCTGCTGCTGGCCTCTCCCACACTGGTTGGTTGCCTTTAACCTTTGCGGTTAGTATCTTACAGTATCTCACCCACTCGAGGTTTCAACTGACACCTGACAAAGCCCCAGTCCCTCATCCCTCTTTCTTGAGCCACCCGCCTCAGAAACCTCGTCCAACCTCAAACACATCTCCTAAAAATGCTTTTTTTTTTTTTTTGCCTCAAAATTGTTCTTTAGGTAACAGCATCATTATCTACTGAAGGTAGATGTGGAAAACCAGTCTTCAGAGTGTCAGGCACCTGCTATGCTCCCTGTCCACCCACCCCCACTAAAGCCAACTCCTACATGTTATCCAGTAGGACTATTTGAGTCCTCAGGACTTCATTCAGCCCTCAAGCTCCCCTTCCCCACCCATGAGCTATGGAAACATAAATCTGACCTTAGTAAGTCTACCCTCTGCTAAAATCTAGAGCTGTCCCACCGAGCTACACTCCCAGTCCTTTTCGTTTTTCATTTTGAGACATGTTCTTTGCTAAGTTGCTAGGTTGCCCAGGCTGCGCTCGAACTTGCCATCCTCCTGTCTCAACCGCCCAGACTGCCTTCAAAAACTTCACCATTTGTTCTGCAAGATAAACTAGATTTCGCAGTTTGACCCACATGGGCTCGTTCTGCTGGAGGCTGTTTGACTTTCCTGGTCCTCACGCTCCAGTCCTGTGGCATCACTTGTGGTTTCTGCACTGTTCTCTATGTCCACATAGCCCTTTCTTGGACTGTACCTCCTCCAGGAAGCCTCAGTAATACCCTTTGCTACCTTTGTCCACTGCTTGCCTTGTTTGGTAGGTATTCATCTGTTTGTCTCCCTTTCACTGTTGAAGGTAAATAAATTCTCTGGGGTCAAGAGTGCATTTTAGCTGGGTGTGGTGGTACATGCCTGTAATCCCAGCACTTGGGAGGTTGAGGCAGGAGGATTTCTGTAAATTCCAGGCTACAAAGTGAGGCTATAAATGAAAAGGGTGAAAAGTATCAGGCTCTGGGACACAGAATCTAAAACTGGGAGAACAAAGGTAATGCCAATAATTACACTTGATTGGGAACTAAACATTTACTAGGTATTTTACATCTTTTGTGTCATTTAATCCCTACAGCCATCCATTTATCAGATGAAAAACCTGAGGCTTTAAGTAACTTTTCCAAAATCACAAAACAAGAAGTTGGAGCTTGGGCTTGGCTCCAGGTCTATCTGAATGTAACTTTTTCTCTTCTTCTTTTAAATTAATGAATGCTAATGCCCTAACATCAACACTATTGGCAAGTTATGAAGCAATAAAACCATGGAAGTATAGATTAGTGATAATGGACTTAACTATCATGTATGAGAGCTTGGATTCTATCCTCACCACTAAAAGAAATAAAATCACTAAACTACTAGAAGAAAATGTAGATTATTTCACATTTAGGGGAGAGATTATGTACTAAGCATGCAATGAAACCTAAAAGCCATAAAGATAAAATCTGTCTAAAGTAAAATTTTAAAGCTTCTGGGGCATAAGCGCATGCCTTGCAAGCGCAAGGTTATGAGTTTGATCCCGGATACCAAAAAAAAAAAAAAAAAAAAATTAAAGCTTCCATAGAGAAATAAAAAGAAGAAACTATAAGTAGCATTTAAACACCAGTAACAAACTGAGCAAACCTGTCACAAACTCGATATATGAAAAGCACTTAAAAGTCAATCAGAAGGGCTGGGGATATAGCTCATTGGCACAGAGCCTACCTGGTGAGTGGCAGGCTGTGGGCTCAATTTCTGGTACAAAAAAAAAAGTCCTAATGTGGTGGTACATGCCTGTAATCCTAGTACTTGGGAGAAGAAAGCAGGAGATGAGCCCTTGCTTTTTTTTTCTTTTGGTAAGGGGGCTCAAACTCAAGACCACATGCTTCCAAAGCAAACTTTTATGCTGCTGAGCTAAATCCCCAGCCCAGATAGCCCTTGCTTTGAGGCCAGCTTAGGCTACATACTGAGTTCAAGGCCATCATGGAGGACATAGTGAGACCCTGTCTCCACTTCAACCACAGAATATAGAAAAAAATAATAATAATCTTGAATTTTTTTTTTTTTGGTACTGGGATTTAAATTGTAATTTTTTTATTTTTTGAGGCAGGCCTTGCTATATAGTTCAGGCTGGCCTTGAATTCACTATGCAGCCCAGGCTGGCTTAAATCTCAAGGTGATCCCCCTGCCTCACCTTCCGATGGACCCTTCCGATGGACCACCATGCCCACTTAAATTGTAATTTGTGTGTGTGTTGCTGGAGATGAACTTCAGGATGATATATGCAGGCCAGGTGGGTGATGCACCACTAAGCTTTCTGCCAGTCCCACAAAGACCTTTTTTTAAAATCAAACTCAGGACCTCACACTTGCCAGGCAGGTGCTGTGCCACAGAGCTATGTCCCCAGCCCTCATTATTTTTTGGTGGTTAAAAGATGGTTAGCAAACAAAACAAAAACTTGGTTAGTCAGGTGTGGTGGCACACCCATAATCTTAGCACTTGGGAGGCTGAGGCAGGAGGATCCCCACAGGTTCAAAGCCAGCTGGGCTACCTAGGGAGCTCAAGGACAGCGTGAACTATACAGTGAGACTTTCTCAAAAAACAAAAATAAGTAAATTTTTAAAGCCTTTTTTAATGGTATAAGGATTTTAACATTTTTTGATGTGGATACTAAAATAATGAGATTCCATTTTTAACCTCAGATTAGGTGGAGGTAAATGGACATAAACCCATACAACTTTTTTAGAGGGCACCTTGAAGTATAGAAATGCCGATGTTCTTATCCTATAATTCAATAAGTCCACTTCTAAGATTCTATTCTATAGAAAAACTTGTGTCAGGCAAAAAGAAATATAATAGGTTGGGGGTATAGCTCGGTGGTAGAGCCCTTGCCTGGCATGCGCAACCCCGCGGGCCAGTTCTCAGCACCGCCAAAACAAAAAAGAAGTATGCACAGAGTGAGGTGTAGACTACATCGTCATTTATTGAATCAGAACAACTAGGAACGACTGTCCACTGGCAGGGGTGGCTGCAATGACCTGTGTTATTTCCATGTAATGGGATCCCACCTCCTGGGGACCCACCCCCACTGCTGGGCACCAAACCCAGCCCTGTACACACTCCCCAAGCACATCACTGCTGGTCACAGCCCCGGCCCACCTCATCATATTCCACGGGAGGAGGTAGCTTTATATTTACTGACATCACAAGAGATCCAGGACACGTTACTGATTGAGAAAGCCAGTTACACAGCTGGGAATGCAGCTCAGGTAGAGTATGCTCCGTGTGCTGGAGACCCCAGCACCAAAAAATGAAAGGGGAGGGGGAAACAATAAAGCAAAGTAAGTTGCAGAATAGTCTACCAAGTGTGCTCTTTTGCTTCTAAGTCATATATTTACATATGTACAAAAAACATGTAAGTCAGGTGTGGTGGTGCATGCCTGTAAGCCCAGCCCTCAGGAGGCTGAGGCAGGAGGATTGCTGTGAGTTCCAGGCCAGCCTGGGCTACATAATGAAACTGTCTCAAAAAACCTAAAAAAAACAACAACAACAAAAACAACAGAAAAACATGTGAAAGGAAGCACTTCAACAATTGTTGAGGTTCTCTGAGCACAGGGACAAAAGGCAAAACCCATCTCTTCTTTTTCTAACCAGGCAAGAATATGTGAAGCAAGAATGCAAAGATCAAAAGACACTCAGAGAAAAGTCAGCTTTAACCTCTCTCTTGCCCCCCAGACTGCCTCAGGGGAAAAGAGAAATCTCAGCTTTATTATACAGCTTTATAATGTTAGTATGCTTCTCTTTTTTAAATTTGGAAGTGGCTTGTCTCACTGTATTTCCCAGGCTAGATCTGGAACTCATGGGTTTGAACGCCGTTCTTCCTGCCTCAGCCTCCTGAGGAAGTAGGAGTATAGGTTGTTACCAGGAAAGCTGGCTTTAGGATTCTCCCTTTATACATTTAGTGATGTTTTATGAACCTTGTTTTTTATTTTTTATCTTTTTTGAGACAGGGTCTCGCTGTGCAGTTCAGGCTGGCCTTGAGCTCACTTTGTACCCCAGGCTGGTCTCGAACTCACAATGATCCTCCCACCTCAGCCTCCCAGGAGTGCTGGGATTACAGGCATAAGCCACCACACTCGGCTCATGAACCTTGTTTTTAACAAGGATCTATGTGCATGAAAAAAGAGTAAAGCTGGGAGGTGGCACACATCTGTAATTTAGCTGCCCAGAAGGCTGTAGGGAAGATCCCAAGTTCAGGCCCAGCTTGGGCAATTTACCAGGACCGTGCCTCAAAAAAGGGAAAAAAAAGGATTAGGGTGAAAAGTGATAAGACCACCTGCATGACATGAACCTGGGCATGGGTTCAATCCCCAGTACTACCTAGGAAAAAAAAAAATTAGAAAACAGAGTGAAGCAGGAAGCTCAAAGGCTGGACTACATAGCATATTTAAGACCAGGCTGGGCCACAGAATGAGACCCTATCAAAAAAAATTAAAAATAATGAAACAGCCAGGCATGGTGGCCTACGCCAGTAATCTGAGCACTTGGAAGGCTGAAGCAGGAGGATCACAAGTTTGAGGGAAGCCTGAGTTACGCAGTCAGTTCAGCAACAAAAGTAAGCAAAGAAACAATGAAACTGGGCATGGAAGCTGAGGCAGGAGGATCACTGAGCATTCAAGGCCAGTTTGGGCTACACAATTAGTTCAAAGCTATCCTGAATGACAGAGCAAGACCCTATTAAAAACAGAAAAAAAGAAACAACAGGACTACTGATATAGCTCAGTGGCAGAGCATATGCTTGGCATAAATTTAATCCCGGCACAAAATAATAACAACGCACACTGGAACTGGACTGTATTCCATAATTTGTATGAATACAAATTTTTTTCCTTCCGGTTTCGAGGACAGAACTCACCACCTTGCACTTGCCAGGCAGGTGGTGGGCTGCTAAGCTGTATCCCTGGCCCTGTGCGACACTTTTTACACACATAGCTTAGTACAAACATTCTCTCATATTAAATATTTTTTGTGCAACACGATCTTGGTAAATGTACAGTAAGCCATCATCAGAAGTTTCTGTTGAGCCAGTCTTTTATCCTCAAACATTTAGGTGGTTTCCCATTTCAGAAAACTGTTTGGCAAATGAAGGAAGGAACAGTCCTTTGGGGGCAGAACCCAGGACAACACACAGAAAGTCCCTGCAGCATCTTTTTCCGCTTTCTGACCCCTGCCTGCAGGATGCCTGCCCGGGCATTCCAGACCTGCTCCCAGCCCGCGGCCACTGCCCAGGGCCAGCTGGCCTCTCCCCATGGTCTTTTCCAGGGCAGAAGCTCTGGTGTATGTGTCCTGGCTCTGGGATCATTTTCTACACAAAGCACAATGATTCACAGCAGTGCTGGTGTCCTCCCATCCCAACCCATCCATATTCTTCCCACTCCCCAAATCCAGGGTCTTCAGGACTCTGGCCACCCAGATGTGTGTACGTTCTCATACAGGGGCTCCTCCTGCTCTTCCTCTTCCACGTGTTTCTGGGGATCCTGTTCCGGGAGGCTGCTGCTGGAGATTGGCTCCTGGGGCCTCCCTGGGCTCTCCCTGCCATCCCCCAGCCCCCTGGACACCTCCTCTGGCTTCACTCCTACAGGTTCCACAGCTCCTGCAGCGTTGGCACTGGGAGCCAAACCAGGGCTCTGACTGGCAGAACCCGAGACCATTCCAGAGCTGCCCTTCTTCTGACCCAGCGCTCGGCGTGGGGGCTTAGGGATGGCACTCTTGACCTTGGGTTCTTCCTGGCCTTTCTGGAAGTTACCCAAACGGCGGAGGACAGAGCGGACAGGGCCCTTGGATTTCTCGGGCATCCCCACCAGCATGTAGATTGAGGCTGCAGAATCTGAGCTCTCCTGCATACTGCCCTCGGTGGTTTCGCCAGGCTTAGCCACTTTCTGACTACCACAAGGGGCTTGGTGGCCATTGGCAGAATTGCCGGATCTGGCGGCGGCAGTGGGAGCCTTATCCATTTTTGCTTGCTCCAGGCTTGTGGACTCCTCGGTCTCCCGGCCCTCAGGACCTGGCTGGGCCCCTCTTGAGAGTCTCTTGGGTTTTCGGGCTGGGCTGTGGAGCTCCCCTGAGCTTCGGCCACTCTGTGACACAAACTTGGTGCCTTCAGCAAAGGAGACGGAGGGCCGTTTGGCCCGGGCTAAACTGGAGGTTCGTGGGATAGGGAAGGGCGTGGAGGCATCCTCAGGGGGAGGGAAGGTGGCCTCTGATGACTCTCTTGGGGACAGCTCTGCTGGGGCCACAGGAACCATCCCTGGCAGAGGAGATAAGAGAGCTTGGCTGCAGCCAGGTCGGCCACTTCAGTGCAGCCTCCCTGCAGCTTCACTTCCCGAGGAGGCCTCGCCAGAAGGCCAGGAAAAGCAAGGATGCAGAGAGGCCAGGAAGGGTCAGCAGGGTCATCACACCTTCTTCTCCACATGCCACACCGTCTCTCCCTGTTGGGAGCCACTGCCACATGCCCGCCAGCCCAATACCCCTGCCACACCCCAGAGCCATGTCCTTCTGAGCCGTGTCCCTCTGGGCCTTTGGGCTTGTTGCTGAGATACCACTCCCACATTCTACATTGGCTTTGCTATTGTCAGCTGATTCAGCCAGACCCTGCACGGCTCTAACATAGACAGTCATCACTGCTATTACTGGATTAGGGGTCTTCCTTTATGTGTCCCTGTCAAAGCACTGCCTTGTGACTTGTCTCATTACTTCCTATCAGACAAGCTCGGTGATGACAGGAGTCTGTTTTTGGACCCAGGGCCTTTGCACTGAGCTGTTTCTCCAGAATTTTTCTTGAGGCAGGATCTTTCTAAGTTATACATTGCTCAGATTTGCAATCCTCCTCCAGCCTCAGCTTCCCAGAGTGCTAGGATTATAGGCATCTGCCACAATAGCCAGCTCTATTCTTTGTTTCCTGTGTTCCCAGAGATAGGACAGGGTCTGGCCTCGATGGAAACTGAAGGAATGTGGGAGAGGTTGTGATGGGCAAGGGGACTCAAGAGTGGGCTAGTGAGGGGCTACCTTTTGGGGATGACACACAGTAGGCAGAATTCTCATTCTCTGCTCCAGATTCGGAATCAGAAGAGAAGGAGTCCTCAGAAGCCCAGCCAGCAGAGGGCTGCTCGATGAAGCTGTGGTTGAAGGGGACCTCCGGGTCGTGGTGAGAGACTGTGGGGGCTCCACGTCAGGCGCAGAGCCTGATGGGAAGCCTCATCCCCTCCCAGCCCGACCCCAAGGCCCACCTACCTGTCACCCACGGAAGCTTGTAGCCACTGAGCGAACCACATGGTAGTACAGAGCCCAGGCTGCTCAGTGCCCCCCAGAACTGCTGCTTCATCCTGGACAAGGCAGTTCCACCCCTTGCAGGCCTGAGGGGTTGACATAGGGGATGGTCAGTACCCAAGGCCTCGGGTGACCTGTGTCACCTTGGCAGGGCATGAGGGGATGGCTGTATCTACTTCAGTAGCTCCACACTCAAAACAGTAAGATCCAAACAATTGATTCCAAGAGATAAATGAGAGAAGGCAGCATGGTGCTAGAGTCAAATAGATCACAGCAACAACTCTGGCTTGGGCTCATCTCCCCTGGCCTCAGTTTCCTCATCTATGAAATAGGGAGAACAGTCTCTACCACTAGAGCTTTTTGCAGGGCCTGGTACAGCACAAGGCACCTGACGAGGGTTCCCAATGTGCAGCTCCTGTGGCGTGCACCTGAATGAGCCCTGGAAGCCTGCTCGTGTCCCCACTCTCCTCTACTTGCAAGCTGGGACTGCTCCACTCGCTACCAGTTTTCTAATAGCTTTTGCACAAGTCCTCATCTCCCATGAGGGGCTTCTTCCAACTTGGCAGGCTGTGGGCCACAGAGAAGGTAACGGGACTGGTGAATCTGTGAATGCCTGGCAACAGGACAACAGGACGAGCTCAAGGATCAGTGCATGCGCTAAAGCCAGCACTGGACAGGGCCTGGGATGTGGCTCAGCAGGGCAGCATCTGCCTAGCAGTGGTGAGGCCCTGAGTTTGATTCCTGACGCAAAGGGAAGCCAGCAAGCAGAAGTGAGCAAGGCGAACTGGACAGACGGCCCAGAAAGCAGAGCAGGACCCTGTGCATCACTATCTGGGTGCCCTTGGGTTTCAGGGGTTCCAGGGGTTTGGGAAAGAACAGAGCAGGGCGTGAGCATCAATCCCTGTGGGAGCCTCTCTGGCCAGGTCCTTCCTTCTGTGTCTCTCTGATGCCACATGATCTGCTGAAGGGCTATACAGACTTTTTTTTAAATCCCAGTACTAGGATGGAAGCAAGGATTTTTCAGATATATCCTCTGATATACACTGAGATATATCCCCAGCCCTTTTTTGCTTTTTTTTTTTTTTTTTTTTTTTTTTTGTCTTTTTGAGACAGGGTCTCCCTATGCAGTTCAGGCTGGCCTTGAGCTCACTTTGTAGCCCAGGCTGGTCTTGAACTCACAATGATCCTCCTGCCTCAGCCTCCCAAGTGCTGGGATTACAGGCGTGAGCCACCATGCCCTGGTCTCTTTTTTGCATTTAAAAAAAATTTTGAAACAGTGTTTTACTAAACTGTTAAATTGTCCAGGCTGTATTCAAACTTGCGGTCCAACTCCCTGCCCCCGAGGCTGCTGAAATTACAGGCATCTGCCACCATGCCTGGCTGCAGGCTTTTATGTCACTGTCCTTTCTAGGCCAAGTGAGGTCTGGTCTCTTCTCCGTCCTAGAGCTGTGCAGCTGCTCCTGTGTCCCTCGCCTGCCTTAGAGGCCCCTGCCAGTAAGCGTCTGCCCTCCTGCTGCAGGTTTGGTGCCCATGTGTCTCAGAAACTTCCCTGTCACAGCTTCCAAGGCAGGCAGACGGCTGACCTGGTGTCTCCAGGCCCTGGGTCCCACCAGCTCTCACCATTATCTTTGACCTACGTGTGTGGCAAGGCCAGCCCTTTCCTTCCCCTGAAAGGAAACCAGAAGCGACCAGCCAGTACTCACCTGTCTTTGGGCTCCCGAGAAGTGGCACAGTGGCAGTAGGCACAGCAGGCAATGCCCAGGAGGAGCAGCAGCAGAGGCCCAAGAATGCTGCCAATGAGCAAGGATTTCTTACGGCCTGGGGACACAGGAGAGTGCCAGATTGTCAGGGCCACCCAGTGTCCCACACGCACAGCTCCTTTCCAGTTCTGAGTTGCCTCCTCCCGCCTGTGGGCCCCTCCCCTTCATCCAGGTGACCTCTTTGCTGCTATCCCCCCTCCTGAGGGTACAAGAGCCCGTTCTACAAGCTGCTGTCCTGATTCTCAGGCCACACTAGAGTCCAGTCCTGCCTGCTCCTTTCCCAGCTCTCCATGCTTCCTTAGATGGCAGGGACTCTGTCACATCTTCAGGGATCTCACAGCATCCATCAGATGTCAGCCACAGAGAAGTCTCTCAAGTAGCTCCAGAGTGCCCCGCCCTCGGCAAGTGGTGCCTCTGGGGCCCATAGAAAGGACCAGACTTCAGGTGGGTACTGCACCCACATTCCACTCCGCCTTACCCCAGAGGCAGGCCCCGGATACAGGGTCGCAGAGTCCATCCGAGCACTGGCAGGGCAGGGAGCAGTTGTTGCCATAGGAGCCAGATAGGCAGGAACTGTTGCAGCTATGGGGTAAGCAGGGAGCAGGCTGAAGACCCAGTGGGAAGGGAGGCAGTGGGCGGTGGGCAGTGGAGAGGGCAGGGGAGGTTTCCAGGCACTGTTCCCACCCCTTGCAGGAAGGCCGCCCTGCACTGTGCCGGAGCAGATCCGCAACCCCCTCTCCTCCCCCCCGCAGTAGTATACCCTAAGTACCACAGTGCTCAGGAGAACCCCTCAGCCCCAGCCCCCCCAGCTCTACGCAGCCCAGTGTACCGCCCCCAGAATGGGTCCGCCGCTGCCCCTGTCTGGTCTCAGCCCTGTGCTGGCTGAGAACTAAGTACTATGTGAGGGCGTTTGGCCAGGGCCTGCCCTGCCCCTAACTTGGGCCTTGGTCTCCTTGCTGTGAAATGAGCTGTCTTCATTTGGCCCCTCACACAGCCCCTAAGTGGGAAGCCTGGCTGGAGACCTGGTTACCACCTGAAGACTTCAGGTGTTCCCTAGGTAAGGTCCCAAACTAGTTAGGGAGCCAGGTATTCCCTTACTTTTCTTTTTTATCCCCTTTTTTATTATTTTTTAAAAATTTTTAAATTTTTATCAGTACTGAGGATCGAACTCAACATCGCCTGCTTGCAAGGCAGGTGCTTATGCCGCTGAGCTAAATCCCCAGCCCCTTTTATCCCCTTTTATTTGTTATTTTGTTCTTGTGGTACTGAGGATTGAACCCAGGGCCTTCTAACTGAGATACACACTTCTTAGCTCTTTTTTTTTGCCTTTTATTTTGGGGGAACTCTCCTTAAATTGATAAATTTCCCAGGCTGTGCTCAAACTTGCTATCCTCCTACCTCAGCCTTTCAGAGTACTATGATTACAGGCTGAACCATCAGGCCTGGATTTTTTTGGCTGATTTTTGAGACAGGGTCTTGTCCTGTAGCCAAGGCTTGCCTCAAACTCTCAATCCTCACACCTTTTAAAAGTTCTTTTTGTGGGCCTGGGGATTTAGTTCAGCTGCACAAGCACCTGCCTGGCAAGCACAAGGTTGTGAGTTCAATCCACGGTACCAAAAAAAAAAAAAAAAAAAAAAAAAAGCAAAAGACCTTTTTGTTTTCTTTCCTTCTTAACAATTCTCATTTAATTTTAAGACCTTTTATTTATGCTTTTATTTTTATATATTTATTTTGGGTTTTGAGACACCATCTTGCTACATGGTCCAGGCTAGGCTTTAACTTGTGTTTCTCCTGCCTCAGCCTCCTGTGTGCTAGTTTTTAGTCCTTTTAGATTGCTGACTCTCCATCATTCAGGCACTTCCCAAATAAGCAACCCCTCAGGAAGGGTACTTCAGTAAACATGACAGAGGCCTGACTTCCTCCCGGGGCTCGGTCCTCACCTGGTCCCCCAGTAGCCGGCACTACAGACACATTCTCCACTCACAGCATCACAGGCCCCCTGAACACAGGTGGGACAGGGAGAGCTACAGCCCTCTCCAAAGGTGCCACTCGGGCAGGTGTCTTCACACCTGGGGGAGCAAGATTCGGAGGTGGGAGGGCAGGCAGGCCTGGCCCCCACACTCCTGAACTGAGGGCTCCAAATGGCCACCTCTCAGCAGCAAAGCACAGGTACCAGCAGGGACCTGAACCTGGAGCCAAACTCAGGAGACAGATGACAGATTCTTGGAGGAGAAAAAGGGCAGGAGGACTGAGTGGTGCCGAACAGAAGAACGTCTGGCCTGGAGCCCCCTCAAAATCCTGTCTCCCTCAGTCTGACGCAGAGGCAGCCCAAGGGTGAGTGTGCACATTGGGCACAGGCAACTATGAAGACAGGACAGAAGGGGCTGAGGATTTAGCTCAGTGGCATAAGCGCCTGCCTTGCAAGTGTGTGGTCGTGAGGTCAATCCCTGGTACCAATAAAAAAGAAAAAGACAAAAAAAAAAAAGGACAGAAAGGTCCACCCCACTCTGCGCGGGGTGTTCCACTCACCTGGGCCCCAGCCTGCCAGGGTCACAGTGCTCACAGTCGCCTGTTTCTATCTGACAGGGCTCCCCATCCCGGCAGTGGGGGCACTGCTGGCTGCAGTTCTCGCCAAAGGTGCCCGGTGAGCAGGGCTGCTGGCACCTGGTCCCATTCCACCCTGGCTCGCAGGACTCACAGCTGCCAGTGTCCACAGAGCAGGGTGCGTTGTGCTTGCAGTGACCACATCTGGCAAGAGAACGAGCTCATGGGAGCAGAGGGTGGGAGCAGCGGGATGGTGGATGCTGCTGAGGCACAGCAGAGCGGTCAGGACCCAGCTGGGTCACAGACAGTCTCATGCCTCAGTTCCTCCATGCTGAACAATGAAGAGGTTTGGACGAATGATCTGTGTCCCATCCTTCCCTGGTCTCAGGGTCACCAGGAGCTACCAGCCCAGTCAGGCCAGCCAGGTTGTCAGTCACCTTCCACTTCCCAGCTTTCCCTTCTGCCTCCCACACCGTGCCAGCCCTGAGAAGGACTCAGGGCTTTACCTTCTATTTTGTACCACAAAAGGATCAGTGCGGTGGCATGCCTGGAGGCAAAGCCACTCAGGACGTTAACCAGCCTGGACAGAACAGTAAGGATCAGTCTCTCTCTGTCTCCCTTTTCTTGCTCTTTCTTTGAGACAGGGTCTTCATATGTAGTTCAGGCTGGCCTTGAGCTCACTGTGTAGCCCAGGCTGGCCTCAAACTCTCAGCAATCTGCCTGCCTCAGCCTCCCAATTGCTAGGATTACAGACATGCACCATCATGCCTGGTTGATCCCTCTCTTTCTCTCTTTCTCTCTCTCTCTCTGTCTGTCTCTGTCTCTCTCTCCATACTAGGCATTGTACTTGCCAGATAGGTGCTTGTGCCATTGAGCTATATCCCCCACCTTGATCCCAGCTCTTAAACCACACATACACAGGTATAATATTTTCACCGCTATAACTTATTTACTCCATCTTAATTTCCCATTGATGCTTTACAGTAACTTGGGTGAGATCTGTTAGTAGAGAGGGAAGGAGAAATAAAAATTAATTTAGCTGATCTTGACAAGCATCTATCTGTCTGTCTGTCTATCTGTCTTTCTGTCTGTCTATCTCTAGTTTTGTGGTACTGGGGATTGAACACAGGAACTTTGCACTGAGCTATATTCCCTGGCCATTTTTATTTTGAGATAGGGTCAAATTTCTAAATTGTGAAGTTGTCCAGACTGAGCTCAAACTTGTGAACCTTCTGTCTTGGCTTCCCAGAGTACTGTGATGACAGACATGTGCTACCACACCTGGCTCTGATCAACATTCGGAAAAAAGAAAAATACTACGGAGTGTGTGTGTATGTTAATAGTAAAGATAAGTGAGTATGTACTGTCTAGTTAATTTTTTATTTTAGGGAGACAGGAGGATTATAAGTTCAAGTCCAGCCTGAATTAAAAAACAAAAAAGATTGGGAGTATTGTTTAGTGTTAAAGTCCCGAGTTAAATCCCCAGTATGTCACACACACACACACACACACACACACACACACACACACACACTTTTCCAGCCCCTTGGGAGGCTGAGGCAGGAGGCTTTACTATTAGGTCTATTAAAGGACTTAATCAGGTCTATTAAGGGACTTAAAAAGAGACATGGAGACTGTGAAGATCTCAGCTTTAGTTTGACTGTCAAACGTGATGGCTCTTCATAAGACAGAACCCAGTCCAGATGTTCCTTTTTTTTTTTTTTTTTTGTCTTTTTTGAGACAGGGTCTCGCTATGCAGTTCAGGCTGGCCTTGAGCTCACTTTGTAGCCCAGGCTGGTCTCGAACTTGCAACGATCCTCCTGCCTCAGCCTCCCGAGCGCTGGGATTACAGGCGTGAGCCACCACCCATGGCTCAGATGTTCCTCTTTTATTTATTTATTTTTTTGTCTTTTTCGTTTTTATCGGTACCAGGGATAGAACTCAGGACTGCCTGCTTGCGAGGCAGGCGCTTATGCCGCTGAGCTAAATCCCCAGCCCCAGATGTTCCTCTTTTAACGACCTCCTGTTTAATGCCTGTTCACATAGCTGTGGTGCACACAGACCTATGACCTATCTTTTTTTTTGTACCATTCTGTATGTCTTGTTGATAGAACCACACTGCTGCTTTCTGTACAGTACACCTTGTTTATACAGCACTTTGATTTTTGCTGATTGTACTGTACACTACAGTACTATAATTTTCTTTGTTATACACTACAGTACTGCATGCAAGAGTTAGGTAAACAAAAGCAAAGTCATAAAAAAACAAAAACAGGGGCTGGGGATTTAGCTGAGCGGCATAAGCGCCTGCCTTGCAAGCAGGCAGTCGTGAGTTCACTCCCTGGTACCGATAAAAAGGAAAAAGACCAAAAAAAAAAAAAAAAAAAAAACCAAAAACAAACTAAAAAAATACTAAACAACTTTTATTAATATGTGTTACGTATGTTACATAGGATGCGGTTTCTTATTGTGTGTGGAGCTGTCAATGTTTCAAGGCCCTGAGTTTTTCTGTTTTTTTTTTTTTTTGGTGCTGGGATCGAACTCAACCTCACAGACATTTGTGCCGCTGAGCTAAATCCCTGGCCCAGTCTTTCTGTGTTTGAGACAGGGTCTTGCTATGCAGTCCAGGCTGGCCTTGAGCCTGTGGCGACCCTCTTGCCTCAGCCTCCCAAGTGCTGGGATTGTGGTGTATGTGACCTTCACCTACCTAGTGAAGGCCACTGATTATTAAAGGGACATTGCCATCATTTTGCCACATGAATCCTTTTTCCTCATATGGCTTGCTACTATCAATACTTCAAGAGTAACTGGATAAATGAGTTGGGCAGGGCTGGACCTAGGGACATCAAAGGGGTTTTCCTTCCCTTTCTTCTCTGTCTTACGTGTTTTTTGTAGACAGCATTGGGCCCCCTTCCGCTTCCCCCACCCTTCTCCCTTCACACACCCCTCTTGCTGCTGCTCCCCTAACCCTCCTTTGCCTGCCTCCCCCAGAGTCTTCTCTCGCACCCTGGTCCTCCCTCACCCAGCCCAGCTGGCTCACCTTTGGCGGCACTGCAGTCCATAGTAGCCAGGAGCGCATGGCCGCTTGCAGTCGGGCTCCAGCCACCCAGCCTGACACATGCAGCGGCCCGTGTCTGGTGCGCAAGGCGAGTTGTGGCAGTGGCACCTGAAGTTGCATCGGCGGCCCCACATGCCCAGTGGACACAGGCAGTTGCCCGTGTCTGGGTCACAGCGTGCCGCAGGGTTGCACTGGCACTGGCGGCGGCATGTGGCTGACCACCAGCCTGGGTCACAGCGGCACTGGCCAGTCTTGGGGTTGCAGTGTCCGTGGGGCCCACAGGAGCACTGTGACTCACAGTTATCGCCCCAGCGGCCAGCGTGGCACTGGCACACGCCTGTGGCTGGGTCACATTTGCCGTGGGGGTAGCAGGCGCAGGTCTCACGGCAGTCGGGACCCCAGTACTGGTCTGGGCAGGCTGTGGGGTTGCAAGAGACAGAGCAGGTTCAGGGCCAGGCACAGATCCTTGCCCGGTCGCTTCCTCCAGGAAGAGGGGTGCCAGCCCGCCCTCCAAGAGCCAGGGACAGACCCTTGAAACATGTGGCAGCCTGTCCTTCTGGGGCGGAGCTCATTTCCTGCCTCAGACTCTAAACTATAGACACCCCTAACTTGGTGGCCTCCACTCTACATTCTAAAGCTCTTCCAGAGATCTCCAGTGGGAAGGGGGCTGGCTGGAGGTGGGTGGGCCTTATTTATTCCCCTCTTCTCTCCTTGTGGAGACCCCAGTCCACCCACCTGGGGATTCATCTGGGTCTCAGCTGCACACTGCCCACCAGAACCACAGGAAAGGCCTTATTTTTCTCAGTGACCCAACTCAGATTCCTGTACCTGCCCCCAGCCTGCAGATCCCCCATAACCCCTTTCACCTCTTCCCTCCTGTCAGGGAGGCCAGACCAGGGCTTCCCCTCACTCTCTACCCATATGCAAAGTGCATGTGGGGGAGATCAAGAGTATATCTATTTTGCAGTGACAGCAGAGCCCTTCATAAGTATCTTTTCTGAAGTTGAAGAGGAAGGTCTTATGAATATGGGCAAAACCTGATGATTCATTTATTTATTTAGAGGTGTTTTTGAGACAAGTTTTCGCTATGTAGTGCAGGCTGGCCTTGAACTCACTACGTAGCCTAGGCTGGCCTCAAACCCACAGTGATCTTCCTGCCTCAGCTTCCCCAGTGCTGGTATTTAGGTGTGTGCCACCATGCCTGGCCAAGACTTGATGATTCAGAGCATCTCCCTAGAGCACATTACTTCCTGTCTCTGGGCCTCAATTTCCTCCGTAAGTTGGGGGATTTTCACTGCTCTACATTTCCATTTCTACTTGGTGTGACCTCCCCCATCCCCCATCCCAGCAACTTCATCGTGCAGGTTGAGACTCACAGGAGCTGCACTGGGCCCCGAAGAATCCAGGTTTGCACCGACAGAATCCCGGCTTCACACATACCTCGTCTTTCCTGCAGGCGTCCAGCCCCTCACAGACGGCTGAAAAACACCCCAGTGGAGGTGAAAGTGCTGGGACACACAGGACCCCTCTGCCCTTCTCAGCCATCCCTAGGGGTCTGCTCCCTCAAGTCACCCAACTCCTGAGGGTGGGGATGCCTGTGTGTCACAGGATGCGGGTTCAAGGCCTGGAGGTGGGGGAGCAGGGTAGGAAGGAAGGGCTGTCACTGATCTATGTCCTCCCTTCTCCTTGGCTACTCACGGACAGTGCAGTCTCCATCTTTCTGCTTCCAGCCTGGACAACACACGAGCTTAGCAAGGGGGCTGCGGGACAAAAGGGGGCAGCCCAGACCCAGAGGGTAGGTCACTGTCGCTGGCTGCGGTGTGGGTGTGCTCAGTGCTCCAAAGACCTCCCCTTGGTGTCACAGCCCAAGAGTATTACAGCCTGTGTCCCCAACCTGTCCCCTTTCCTTCCCTGGCCTCCCCATCATCTGCTCTGACTCTCCACTGTCCCCCAGGCTGCCCTTCAGCCCCAAGGCATTCCCATATCCTCATTCTTGAAATGCCTCAGTTTAGTTCCGGCCTCAAAGCCTTTCAGGTTCCCAAAGACCTACCTGCTGCCTCTGCAGACATTCTGCCCCTTGGGGTCCAGCTCGGACTCTTGGGTCTCCTGAGTCCAGAGCAGCAGGAGTGGGAGCAGCAGTTCTAGCCCCATTGCAGCCAGTGGAGTGGGAGGGCCTGGGTTTATCTGGCTCCAGCAGCTCTCAACCCCCCGCCCTGCTTCCTCCCAAGGCTTTTCCTGAGGAAACCAGGCCCAAGGGGTGGACTACTGCGAGGCTCCTCCCTGGGACTGATGGACACCAGGAAAGCCAGACATGCAGAAATGAGAAAAAGGAAGGCCCCTGGGGAGGTCCTTGGAAGGTCAGGCAGAGAGCTGAGGAGGGGTTGGGAGGAACTGCCATCTTGCCAGAAGCCACACTCTCAAAGTCAGGTGAGAGCCAGGCGAAGGCCTCCACCCAGTGACCAGCCTCAGGGACCCTGTGAGCAGACCTCAGCCTGCCTCTGCACCTGGCAGCCTGGGAAGTGGCGCAGACCAGTGACAGACAGACATGGGGCAGTTGTGGGGTACTAGGGGGACAGCTTCTTTATTATTTTAGCTCGAGCCATCTGCACAAACCCCTGGGCATTGGTAGTCAGTTCTCTGTTTCAGAAATGAAGAAACTGAAACTCAGGAAGCACTTTTACGGTGACCCTGAGGCTTGGGTGCAGAGCCCTCAGCGAAGGTAGGCAGGCTGAGTGCCCTGTCACACCTGCTGCAGGCTAGGCCCACAGATGAAGCCCACAGAAGGCTGTAAAGACAGAAGGCCTGGCCTCACTTGAGGTCACATGTCCATCCCCATCCAGGCACCAGTGACAGACCTCTGGAGAAGCTGAGGCCTCAGACCAGGTGTCCATTGGGCACAGAACAGGGAGACTCAGGAGTTGGGGGCTTGAGGGGTGCCAACAGGCTCCACATGAGGTTGCTGGGGGGCCTCCTCTTCTCCCCCTCGCTCGCTGGGAGAGGTGCTACCGGTCTCAGCTCGAGGGGCCTCTGCTTCACTCCGACACGACAGGCCAAAGCTAGAGGGAGAGCCAAGAAGTACACAGGAAGCCAGAGAAGTCAGGGAAATGGGCTGACGGCAGGGAGTGGGGAGAAAGAGGATAGAGAGGCAAAAAGAACAGCATGAGGTTGTGGGGAGCTGAGGTGCTGGGGACAGAAAAGCAGGAGGGAGGGTGCCTTAGGGCTTAGGGCAGCAAGGTGAGAGGCAGAGGTGCGGAAGAGGGGAGATGAGCAGGACCAGCTAGGGTTCCTCTTTCACCCCCTCTGCCTTCCCTTTCCCTCCACATACAAACTCTGGACTCTGGACTCAGGCGGGGGGGAGTCATCTTCCTTATTTTTGGAGAGCAGAGGCCATGAGCCATCTTCATCATCACTAAGAGAGACAGATGACACGATGGCTGTTTGTGAAGGGCCCAAGGGCCAACAGGAGTCCAGCTCACATGATGCCTTCCCTCCAGCGCTCAGGAACAGCACGGGAGGATGCACAGGCCCCAGGGTGGAGAGGAGGAGACACACTGGGGAGACACAAGACATCTTGAAGCTTTTACTTCACAGCCTGGGAGACAGCAGGCCCCTGGAATGGCCGAAGTCCCTCTAACAAACAGCAGGAAGCCGTGGAGAAGCAGTGTTAGCAGGGGTTGTGAGCAGGATGTCCAGCAGGCAGGGTCAGTGGGAGCAGTGTTGTCCAAAGGGAAGGTCAGCAGGCTGAACAGTAGGCTTAGGAGGTGACTGGGGCAAGCAAACAGGCCCACGGGGGTGACCTGACTAGAGCCCCAGCTCAGGGCTAAGCAGCACAGATTAGCAGGTTCAAGGAGTGAGGAGAGTGGCCACCCTGGGTTGGCAAGCTCAGCAGAACTAGGGAGTGTGGGAAGGCTGTGAGGTGGCAGTGAACCTGCTCTCGGCTTCCTCTGGTGTTCCTAACATCTTGGCCTTGATCTTCTTCCGCTGCTTCTTGACAGCTACTTTCATAGCCTCCAGTAGAAGTCCAGGGACCCTGTGGTCTGTGAGCAGCTCCCTAAGAGAGGGAGAGGGACAAGAAGGAAGCACTGTGCTCCCCCAGGTGCCTGTTCCAAGGCCTGGAGCACCCTGCATTGCTGGCACCTCTCAGACCTTTGGGAGCTTCAGCGGCTCCCATCCTAGCCTGCTGCTGCTCCTGTGGCCCTCTGTACTGCCCTCTGCACTGCCCCCTCCCCTGTCTGAATGAAGTCCCAGGAGGGCAGGAGCTATGCCACTCATGTCCTTCTAGTACCTAGGGCCTGGCACACATCACTGCATATACCAATGGATCGAAGAATGAGGAGGGGTGCCTGAGGCCCAGGAAAGACGCAAGTGGAGGCTCGTGGCCTTGAGAACCCTCACCGCTGGAAGTAGGCCAATTCCTCCTTGAGCAGAAACACCTTGGCTTTGAGTTCATTCCGCTCCTGAAGGATCTGTTCCAGCTCCTCCCGGCTGAAGCCACACTGCCCTGCCTCAACCGGGCGACCGGGCTGCCCCAGGGCGTCCACCTGGGGAAACCATCACGGGGATGCTAGGGAAAGTGCCCAGCAGGGAGCATGGAGATACAAGTACAGCAGATGACAGAGCAGTATGGAGGCTTCGCGGGCTGAGATGGGGGCACAAATCCCGTGTGCAGTCTTCTGACTTCTCACGGACCCGCTGCACAACACTGCACACAGGGCCCAGGGCCCGGGCCCAGCAGCTACCAGGTTCTGAGAAAGAGGGATCCTGCCTTCCTCTGGCACCCACCAAGTCCTCAGGGGACGCCGGGTTTGGCTGCTGCTTCTCTCCTTCAGCCCGCTCGCGGGCGCCTTCCCGCGGCAGCTCATGTTCCCTCTCGCGGTCCTGCGCAGCCCGCAGCTGGGCCTGCACAGCCGCGAGCTTGTGGCGCAGCTCTGCATTCACCAGCAGAAGGCGCTGTAGCTGCTCCTGCAGCTGGGGGCGGAACCAGGGGGAGCTGGTGGGCGGGGCAGAACCCAGCAGAGCCCCGCCCCCGGACGATCCAGTGCCCGCCCTCACCGCCTCGGTTTCCTGGCTCCGCTGCCTCAGGTCACGGCTGTGTGCGCGGAGCTCGTCCCGTTGCTTGTCGGTCACTTCCTTCAGCCGCAGCAGCAGCGCGCGCTCCTCTAAGGAAGGGGCACCCTTAGCAGGCCTGTGCGGAGGCCGTGACCAGTGCCAGCCCGCTCTGGCCGTTTCCACAGGGCCTGCACTCACCCTGCGGCCCGGCGCGCGCCTCCCTGCGGAGGTGCTCGTTCTCCTCCCGCAGCCGCCGCAGCTCCACTTCCGCCTGCTGCGCGGACACCTGCAGCTGGGGAGGCCAGGAAGCGGGTTTAGAGTCTAACGGTCCCGCGCGGGAGGAGCGAGGAAAGTCACTCACCGAGTCCGGGGCGGGCCCCACCGCGGCCTGTTCCAGGAGCTCCAGCGCCCGCACCACAAGTGGCACCAGCCCGGCTGCCGCCTCGGGCCCGAATCGGCGGGCCAGCTCTTGCAGCTCCGTGCCCAGGGCCCCCGCTAGATGGTACACGAGCTCTGCGGCCGTCCTCGACCCCGTGGCCACACGAGGCCCCCTGCAGGGTTTTCCAGGTGTCACCCTTCTGGGTTCCATTCCCCCAAAGGCCAAGGCCACCCCCACCTTAAGTTCCCCACCGTAAGTTGGGGCTGGAAAATGCCAAATTCCAGCCCAGAAAGTTTAGGTTTTGTAAGGGGCGGGGTATTAGCACGAGGGAGGAGCGACTAAGGGTGAAGGCCCTGGGAAGGGACAGTGCCCTAGGCCCTCTGGGGCCTGTCCTGTTCAAACCCCAAGGTCACAGGAAACCGGACAGCCAGCTTCCAGGCAGGTGTCCAAGAACTGAGGCCCAAGGCTCTAAGTGGTCACTTCAGGCAAGCCCTCCCCATGGCCACAGGTCCAGGCTCCACCCCTGCATTTGGAGTCAGGAGTGGACTTGGCCAGCACAGGCACTCAGGCAAGAGATGAGATTCAATACCGGTGAGTGGCCCTCACCCCACAGCCCTCTGCTCACAGGCCTGTTTCTCCACCAGGAATGACACAGAAACTTTGCAAAGGGGCTGGGCCCGGCCCTACAGCTCCAGCACAGGCCGCAGAGCTCCCAAGTGTGTTGAAAAGGGGTGATTGGAGGGCCAGTATTTTGCAGAGAAACACAAATCTGCTCAAGGTGGCAGTGTGAAGCCAACCCCCATCTCATTTCCTGAGCCAGGGAAATGTCCAGCCCCAAAGGCCTCAGCAGAGGTCCTTGTACTCTGTCAAGGCCAAGGCCAACACCCTGCTGTGAAATCTGCTCTATCCTGGCTCCCTGGCTTACCCAGGTCCAGATTTAGGGTAGGGGTGGGGGGCAAGAAACAATCATCAGTCCAATTCCTATTTGTACAAAATTTATTATGTTTTGTTCAGGATTACAAGCCATCAACACAAGCACAAAACAAGAGGCAAAAGGGACCAAGCTGCTGAATGTCACCAGCTTGTCAGTGAAGGAAATGGGCTCCAATCTTTGGGGTGTCTCACACAGGAGGGCAACAACTAGGCATAGAGGTCCTCCCGGTCTGCAGAGTAGACCTCGCCCTCCTGTAGGAGGGCAAAGTTGAGGAAGTGGGATGGTCTGTGGACCTCGTGGTAGAACTCTTTGGGGTTTGCCAGCTGCAGCTCATACTTCATGTTGGGATCATGCCGGACACCTTAGGGGAAGAGGAAACTGCAAATGTTAACAAGGATCCTCCTGCCTCACCTGGGCTTGGGCCCCAGCTCTTTTCCAAGGGAATCAGGTCCCAAGTGCTGAGGTCATGGCTCATCTTATCTCTACACCTCATCCCTCTTTCTGAACTGTACCTCCCCCCCCAACAGCCTGCTTACCCATGAAGTTGTAATTCCATGAGGACTGAGCAGGGACCATGAAGAAGCCGAGGAAGCGGTCTGACAGCAGCATCTGGACCCTCTCATAGTGTGAGGGGAGGTAACCCTTGGGGTTGTTGCCTTTGTCTGTGTTCTGCCGGCCCCATTCATAGCCACTGGGGGTCAGCTTGTAGGCTGTCAGCGTGCAGGAGCCTGGGGTGAAGCTGGGGGGAGAGGACAGGATGAAGGTTCTGGCCACCATTCCTACTCCTGGCCTGCAGTGCCTGCCCAGCTATACTTCCTACCCAAGCCTACCTGCAAGTGATGATGATGGTCTTCTCACCATCCCAAGATGGGTTGTCAGCCATGATCTTAGCATGGGTTGTGACATCCTGGGGTGACAGCTGGGGGGACTCATTGGGCTGTGTGTGGATCCAACCTAAGGGCTCCATCTCCTATAGGCAAACAGTAGTAAGAACTGTTCAGAATCTCATCTCCTGACAGACAACTCACCTGTGAGAGTAACACACCGGTGTTCCTAGCGCCTGATGGCAGAAAGCGTATGCTCAAGCTCCTGATCCCAAGCTTCAGCACCCCACTTGCCTTGAGATACTCATGCTGGGGCAGCTGGCCAGGCAGATGCACAGTCTGGTGCGTGCCCCACTGCGGCACCATCACGATGCATCGGATCTCCTTCACCTGGGGGTTATCTGGTGGGCTCACCCCATATAGGTATCCTGCAATCTGGAAGGAGGGGAGTCAGGAACCAAAGTTACTATTCCAGAACCAGGCCAGGTTGTCAGTTTATGTTTGCTGCCAACCTTAAGAACTAAAATAAAATTTCTTAAAACACGCCACAATTCCTTGCATCAGAGTCACTTGGCCGAGCGCTTGCTGCACATGGACCTCACTTCAGGTTCTGAGTTACAACCTCCTGAGTGGAGTCTGAAGAGTGCACTGCTCACAAGCACCCCAGCTAGTAATTACCAAGTATGCATGCTGTCCATAACCAGGCTTGCAGCTCACTGGGTTTTCACAAGCTGAACATGCTCTTGGAAAACCAGCAGTAGGTGGTATTCTAATTTTACACTGTTATCAACAAAGAAAAACTGTCCTATAAACACCCATGAAGGCAACCAGCAATCTTCACATTTGCCCAACTGATGGCTACAACATGGTGTTTCATAAAATAGAAATTATTCCTCATTACTTTTTTGAGACAGTTTCACTATGTACTTTGGGTTGGCCTTGAACTCACATAGCCCATGATGGCCTCAAATCTGAAGCAATCTTCTTGCCATTGCCTCTCAAGTGCTGGGATTACAAGCATGTGCCACCATGCCTGGCCATAAACTGTGTATCCCAAATGGACCTGTAACTCATAGCCATTGTCCTGCCTCAGCCTCTGAGTACTGGGATAACAGGCATGTGGTACCATGCCTAGCTGGATATCCCTGACTATTGAAGGTGAACATATTTGGATATTAAATTTGCCATTTGTAGTTTTTCTTCTGAACTGCCTTTGTGACATTTTTTTGTGTGTGTATGCTGGGAACTGAACCCAGGACTTTACACATGCTAGTACGTATACACACATTCTACTGAACTACAACCTGACTCTAGAACTTGCTTTTTTAAATCTCTCCTCATTCTTCTAGGTTTTAACAAATTTTTTTTCCTACTACTAGGGATTGAACTTAGGGACACTTTACCAATGAGATGTATTTCCAGCTTTTTTTTTTTTTATCTTTTTGAGACAGGGTCTTGCTATGCAGTCCCTGGCCTTGAGCTCACTGTTTAGCCCAGGTTGGTCTCCAACCCACGAGGATCTTCATGCCTCAGGCTCTCTAGTGCTGAGATTACAGGCATGCACCACCATGCCCGGCTACCCAGCTCCTTTTTAATCTTTTTTTTTTTTTTTTTTTGTATTGGGGATCAAACTCACAATCTCACATTTGCCAAGCAGGTGCTTGTGCCACTAAGCTACATTCCCCACCTCCCGACCCTTTTTTAAAATTTGAAATGGTATCACTAAATTACCCCTAATCTTGGGATGCCAGGTATGAACCACTGCCTCTAGCTTCTACAGTTATCTTACAAATCAACTTGAAAATTCCCTCTTCAACCAGATGTGCTAGCTAGAATCCCAGCACTTGGCAAGCTGAGGCATGAAAATTATTCCAAGTTCAGGACCAGCTGGGCTACAAAAGTGAGCTCAAGGCCAGATGGAACTGCAAACCCTGTTTGAAAAAGTGAAAGAGGGGGCTGGGGATTTAGCTCAGCGGCATAAGCGCCTGCCTTGCAAGCAGGTGGTCGTGAGTTCATCCCTGGTACCGATAAAAGGAAAAAAAAAAAAAGAGAAAATAATCATTAAAAAAAAAAAAAAAAAAGTGAAAGAAAAAAAAAAGCAAGCAAATTGCCTCTCTAGACACTAATCCATTACTTCAGAAGAATAAAAATAACTCTCATTTTTAGTTTATCTTTTGTAATACCCTTTGTCATAAATTATGGTCTCACGTTTGTTTTATCATTTCTTTTTTTTTTTTTCTCTTTTTATTGGTACCAGAGATCGAACTCAAGACCACCTGCTTGCAAGGTAGGTGTTTATCCCGCTGAGCTAAATCCCCAGCCCTAACGTTTGTTTGTTTGTATTTATTTAGAGACAAGGTCTTGCTATGTCATTCAGGCTGGTCTTGAACACCTCAGTATGTAGTCTGGACTGGCCTCAAACTTGTGGTGATTCTCCTGCCTCAGACTCTCAAATGCTGGAATTACAGGCATGTACTGCCACACCCAGCTCTTTATGCTTTGTTTAAGGCGTTTAGCCCAACACTGAGGTCATCAATATATTCTTCTAATACGCTGCTGCTTAGTATTTTTACACTCAGATTTTCACCCAAATTTGTTTTTTTTTTTTTAATCTTTTTCATTTTTATCGGTACCAAGGATCGAACTCACGACCGCCTACTTGCAAGGCAGGTGCTTATGCCGCTGAGCTAAATCCCCAGCCCCAGATTTTCACCCAAATTTGTAAGAGATGGGGGTCCTGCCTTTTCAATGATCTCATTATAAGGTATATTTAATCTCACAGATTCGGTATACCATATTTATTAATAAATAAATATGAATCTATTCTGACTATTCTCTCCTAGTAATTTCTGAGTCAACACTGCTTTATAAAACATGTTGCTGTCCCATGGACACCAAAGCCTCCTTACTGTAGTGGCTCTTCTTTTGTTGTTAGAATCCTGAAATTGGCACATCAAGTTCTAGGAAATACCAACTGAGTTTTAGGCATGTAACAAACATGGGCACACAGTGTGGCCCAGCTGAGCACACTCACTTGGGCACGAAGGTCAGATATGCAGATAAATTTCTTAAGCACATTCTTGGGAAGAATATAAGTGTAGCCAGTCTCCTTAATGTCATCAGATGAAACATAAATGTGATTGGTCCGTAGGTGCAGATTGGCAGCGGATATGGCCCTAAAAACAGGTACAGAATATTATCATGTTCCATTCCAAGCACCTCAGGCAGGGTCAGTGGACCTTTCCATTCTGCGGCAGTAGGGGACTGAACCTAGGGCCTCTGCACTGAACTACATGGATCCCCAGCCTTATTATTTTTGAGATAAGCTCTTGCTAAGTAAGTTACCCAGGCTGGGCTCAAACTTGCAATGCCCTGCCTTAGCTTCCCCCAGTGCTAGGGTTACAAGCCTGTGCCAGTATGCCTAGCTTATCCCTGCCTCCTTGCTCTTCACATTACCTGACTCTCCATTCAGTCTTTGATGAGAAAGTCTGGGTCTCATAGTTACTGGTGGTGGAGGTAATGATCTCATCACCGTGTTTGTTGACTGTGCGAGTCTGTGTTGCAGTCAGCTGGGACTGTTCCTTGGTCTGCTTTTCAATCTCGGCTATCTGCTGCCGCTGCTGAGACGGCGCAGAGATCTCCATTCCCAGGATGATGTCTCTGATTTCTGATTGTGTCAGTGATGCCACATTCAC